TAAAATTAATTGTTATTTAATATTTGCAGTGCCCTCGCCGCCGACTAAGCTACATGTGGAGAATTCGCCGTGGAGCACGGTGCTGGAGTGGAAGCCGCCGTCGTTTCCGGCTGGACGATTGGAGTTCTATGAGGTGGTCATAATTGAGAGGAATGCTAATAACACAATAATTGGCCAACCATTCAGTTATGTGAGCGCACGTCCAAATCTCACCTGTGTAATGAAGACGCCGGTTTGTACGGCGTTGCACCGTTTCAATTACAAGGTGCGAGCTGTGAATGCGGAACTATTGGATCCAATGCTATCAACGCATGTGGACAAGACGCACATTCGTCAATCAATACAAAGCCAAAAATGTGATGCTCAACCTCCATTGACGGATAAGGAATGGAGCGACATACAAAACTATCTCAATTCGAGTCTCTATCGTTTGCACAAGTCCGCATGGACCACCCATGATGTGAGCTGCTCGCCGGGTCAGAACAACTTCAAGGTGTTTGTTACCTCCGTAGAGGTGGCTACCTCCATCATCTTCTTTTGTGCATTCGCATACATGGCCTATCGCAAGCTATTGAAGATGTCCGACATCGATCTAGTGCTTCCACCGGGCATTGATGAGACCCTCAAGAAACCCATCGACCCTGGCTCCAATGGTGGTGGCACTGGTGGCAGTGCCGGCGGCGGTGGCGGTATCGGCATCATTGCAACACGAATCGATCTACCGCACTATTCGCAACACGATTTGCCACAAGACTTTAGCAGCGGCAACGAGAGCTCCAAGCTGCTTTTAGCCAACAGCTCAAGCGGCGGCATGCTCGAGCAACGGGATGCGTATGAGGAGCGGACGTTGACAACGTTGCCACCGTCCAGCTACATGTCGATGGGCCACAGACTGCTGCTTGACGACGACAGCCAAATGGCCGCCACGGAGCTGCAGTCAAGCAGCCAAACGAATCCAAATCTAAATGCAAACACAAATGTAAATCCAAATCCAAATCCAAATGCTGGTGGCTATATAAAGCCCACGCAAATGAAGAACTGGTCAACGCCGAGCAGCATGGCCAACACATTGCCCAGCACAGCCCATGTACCGTTGAGCATGCCCTTAAGTGGCTACGTCCCTGTTCAGGTGCTGCAGTCGCGGCCAACAAATGCGCCCGCTGCTACGGCTGCGGCAGCAGCTGCCGCTGCAGCAACCACGGCGGCAACACAAGCGCCGATGCACCTGCTCAATACGAGCAACTATGTGCAGGCGTCTGATCTACACAAGCTGAAGCCGCTGGCGCCAATGAGTGGAGTGACTGGACCAGCTATGCCGACAACGCCAGCTGCCACGCCGCTGATGATGCCCAACGGCTTTGGCTATACGGCCATGGAGCAATTGCAGCGGAATGGCTTGATCAAGCCAACGGTTGCAACGGCTGCTGCGGCAGCTGCGGCAACGGCACAGCAGTCGCAGCAAACGCCGCAAAGATTGCAGCCAAATATTGGTGGATATGTGACTCCGCAGGATCTGAATGCATTGGCGCACAATCGTCATATGCTCTAAAGCTCTAAAAGGATCACGCACAGAGAGAGCGAGCGAAAGAGAGAGAGTAACACATACACACAGACTCACACTCAGAGAGAGAGAGAGAGAGAGAAAGAGAGAGATTTTTGTGGATTAGCTGCATATGAAACATGCAGCCAGCTAGCAGCTACTATTGCCTTCCGTTGACACACACACACACACACTTACGAATACTTTGAGAGATGGAGATGTAGAACAAGCAACACTCATCATATAAATCAGCTCATTTAGCATACATACACATTCACATCCACATCCACACACGCACACACTTAGCCCGGCCACTTGTATTTAATGAACTATTTGTATACTCTTCCCTTTTGTATACCCTGTAAAGTTGTAACTTGTACGTTTCAATCGCATATCGAACATTGTACTTTAAACATTTTCTCTTTTTTTTTTATTATTTATTTTTACATTTATTATTAAACACATTTTTTAATTTTCGTTTTGTCATCTGTTCGTTGCTAGTTTTTTCTTCGAGGTTTTAATGATTAATAACGTTCTAGTATTGTTTATGAGCTACATTATATATAAATCTATAGATATATATATGTTTATATATATAATTAACTTTACATGACTACCTACTATATATACAGAAATGCATACATATATATGTATGTACTTATATTATATGTAATACGAATTGGCAAACGCCAATGCGCCAATTTAATTTAAGATTATAAACTATATATATATACTATATATATATTATATACTATCTACTTTAAAAGGAAAATGTAAAGAAAACTAAACTAAAACTGGCATTTTTATTCTCTTTGTCGACTTGTCTTCCACTAGAAATTAATCAAATAAGAAGAAAATAGATAAACTCTTTTTTTAAGTTATCCTTAATCCACGCAATGTTTATAATTTCAATTGATTAAATTAACTAGAATATAATATAAATATATAATTTTTTAGCAAGTTTTTCTTTTTTTTAACTATTCAAAATTATCAATTTTTTTTATATTCGTATGTGTTTCTCAACTATTGATAAATTATCGATCAAGTTGTTACACTAATCATATGGTTAGTGGTTGCTATTAAGCAATACACATATAGAGTCCTCATCATGATATTTTTATACTTTCCCCATTTTAGAGTACAAGGTATGTGCTAGTCGGGCACTTTTGGCCAATCAGCAGCTCGTTGTTCCAGTTAAAGCGTTATCGTGCCAAGGACCTATCAATCAAGCCATCAATCAATCACATTGACTGACTGCGTCTATCTATCAGGGATTTATTTACTAAAAAATTCTGCGTAATTCGATTAATTCTCTGGAACTTATTCAGTTCTTTAGTGTTTTTATTTTTTGTTTTCAAGTAATTCCCAATGTTTAATGGGAGTCTGTGAAAATTCCATTTAAAGAGATAAGGAATACAACAGAAGCGAAGTCTTTAGCGCATAAATACATATATGAACTTTTATTTCCGTTGAATTTATAAATATGGTATGAATTCACATTAGACGGCTTAGCAATCAATAAACTGAATCATATAAGAGAGAGGGAGAAAGAGTGAAAATGAAAGTGAGAGAAAAGTAGGCATTGTATCACAGATAACAAATCCGATTTTGGATGCCGATAAACCTAATGTTTTCAATTTGAATTAATGAGCATAGAGTAACTCCTGGGCTAGAGTGGGCGTTTGCCATTTTTACTGTGTGGTGACCATTACGAAAAACAAAAACAGAAAAATCACATTTACGTTCGGAGAATCCCAGTCCGAACTACATATTTCTACGCATCAAATTTTATGATAACAAATAATAAATACATATATATATATTATATATATAGAAAATTCCGTAAATATGTCTATATATATATATTTACGGGATTTTTTAAAGGAAGCCAGAAGCCATTGAAATACCTAAATAGACATACATGCGTAAGTATAAAAGAAATTATTTAACATATTCAATGAAAACTATTAAAACAAGTAAGAAAGCTCTAGTCGAGACTGCTCGACTACGAGATCCCCTGAACCCTTCGAGCAATATTTTGAGAATTTATTTGTTGAATAATTTAATATCTAGACGTACGATCTTAATGAAACTTTCAGAACGGTATCATAATGTTCATATGTATGTATGTATATACCAAGCACAAGTCTCTAGTATTTGAAATACGCATTTTACAAATATGAGGGTGGCGGGTAAATTTTGACAAAAATTATAATAAAATTTGGAGACTCTAGCTTTAAAGATGTAGGAGATATAATTTTATAACTGATTTTCGAAAAGGTTTTTTTTATCGATAATAAAATATCGGGAGTAGTTATCGATTTTTAGTGATAAAGTCTCTAGCTTTTATATCTTCTGAAATCGACGCGTTCAAACATACGGACGGACGGACAGGGCCAAATCGACTCAGCTCGTCGCCCTGATCCAGAATATATATACTTTGTAGGGTCTGCCACGCCTCCTTCTGCCTGTTACATACTTTGTAACAAAACCATTATACCCTGATTTTGCCATTTTCAATTTTTCTGGGTATAAATCTATATATGTATAAACAATATCGAACCAATAAAATATTCACATAAGGAGAGAGAAAATAATAACAATAAAGAACGTTGTAGTCGGGCGTCACCGACTGCGGAATACTCATTCACATCCCATCAGCAATTTAGTAGCTAAGTTTTGCTCTAATACTGTAGAAAATTCTCGATTTTTATCGATTTCCCACGCTCCTCGTGGAACAAGCTAACGGTAACCTAACTGCTCCAAAAATGCGAAAATTACAGGGTATTTTTTGAGGTGTAACAATATTTTTTTTGGGAGGAGGTTACTATTAACTTAACTATCCAAATTTGAAGCTTTTAGCTCTTATACTTTAAGAGATATCAACTTTTGAGGCTTGCCGCACCCCCTATGGGCGGACATACATATATCCACTACAACTTTTTGGTCTTGGAAGTGATCTCCCGAGTATATGTATATACCAAATCTTCCGGTTCGATTTGTCACGCCCCTGGTGGGCGTAGACAAAGAAGTTCTTCATAAGTCTCTATAGAAGCATAACATTAGCTCATGTGCAACACTTGAACGTTCTAGCTTAAAAACTCTAGGCGATACAGTTTGATCCGATTTCTCACGCCCCCCAAATGGACGTAAATATGTCCATTGAAATACATACATTGTACGATTTGTTCGATACTAGGATGAGGGAGCGGCTTATCAATTATTTCATTTAAGAGCCGATTGCTGTGTATTTAAAATTCTTCGAGAGACCCCAGCCCAGGCAATCAAAACTGATTACGAGCGCCGCTTGTAGAGTAGTTTGAAAGCTGCTTCCATGAGGCGAGGTACGAGTAGAGCCGCACTTCCAGCGATAGCCACGCATAATTATAAATAAAATATACACACACAACATACATACATACATATGCACATATGTACTATATATGACGACAATCGAAATATGGATTTCAGACTGCGACGCACTGTTTTCGTTAGCGTATTCGTGGCTAGCTTCTGCTGCACAATGTGCCTCACCGTCCATGAGGCTCTCGATCAGTTCCATATTGAGCCATCGCGGGATAATTTGCGCGAGGGCGACTCATACAATGTGACCTGCTGGTCGGACACTCTGGCCGCCCTCGACAAACTGTGCGGCGCCGGGGGAGCTCAGCGATTGTATATGCAGGCGAGCCGATCGAATCTGACGGTGAGCATCCTTAATGGCACGGCTATTTACCACGAGGTGCGATCGGCTCGGCCGAAGCACGGTCGTGCGTTTGGCTATGAGTGCCTGTGCGATGGCGCAGCGATAGTCTCCTCGTTCTTTCCGGTGGGCGTGCGATTGCAGGTCGACGACTTCAGCTGCCGATTCGAGGACGTCGAGTCTCCGGCGCCATTCAACTGCAGCTTCAGCAGGCCGACCAAGAGCGATGCGGTGGACGCCACGGCGAACTACACGCTGCAGCATGGCGATCGGACTGTCGCCTGCCAGCCGGCTGGTCCAGGCCTACGGATGCAGTGCATCGGCCGGCTGAACAATTTCCAAAGGGCATTCAACTTCACATTGAGACTGCACGATCGATTGGGTGAGCATTCGCAGCGATTCCAGCTGCGGCGCGAACAGATGATCGTGCTGGAGCGTCCGGGTGCCGATCTCAATGTGACGAGCCTAAACAGCTCATCGATCTGCCTGGAGTGGAGCGCCAAGCGGTCCACAAACCACATTGGCTACAAAATCAAGTGGTCGACGCTGCTGCTGAACGACAACATCAACAACAAAAGTATCCTGTGGTCAGATGTGAAGCAGGTGACAAACAGGGAGAGCGTCTGCCTCTACCGACTGCCCCATCCGTATGTGAACTATACGATTGAGCTGAAACGTCGCTACAACTATTCAGGAGCCCATTCAAGTCCCAGCTTTGTCTATAGCTTCTACACGCTTCCAGAGCGGCCGGCACGTCCACCGCGCGTCTGGCCAGGCAGCTACTACATCGATCCCAGGCGGCCGAACAAGCTGGACATTTACTGGCAGCCGTTGTCCCAACTGGAGCACAATGGCCCACAGTTCACCTACAACGTGACCGTACAAAGGTCCAGCGATCCGAGCCAAGTCATGTGAGTCAGCTCTTTAATTGCCTTGAATTAACGCTAGCTTTATCGCTAGCTCCAGCACTGTTGGAGTTTCGCTTCACTTCGCTTCACATCACTTCACTTTACTGATTGTGCATTGCATCTGGAACTCTGTGGGTTAATCCCTCTGACGCATCTTCAGACACTTTGGAGATTGTGCGATGAAGGCTCATCAATAATAATGGGATTCGCTTCAATTGTAAATGGTCTATTAATCGATTAGTCATTAGTCAGTCAATCTTTCATTCAGTCAGTCGCTCAATCACCATTTCAATTAGTTAGTCTGCCAGTGAGTCAATAGATCAATTAGTCAGTTCCTCAATCAGTTGGTAGTTCAATTAGTCAAGCATTTCATCAATCAGTCAATCACTCAATCAATTGATTGGTCATTCAATCATTCAATCAGTTAATTGATCAATCAGTCCATCATTCAGTATGTCAGTTTTTCAATCAGTTCGACAATCATTCACCATACCATTTACCATGTTAAGCTGAAGCTGAAAATGTAATTCCCTATAATCGTTATCAGCTTACTTCTCTATTGTAATACCGAAAACGTGGTACATTTGTGCCTTTGTACGTATTTCGTAGAATTTTGAGTTCATTATACAAAATTAATGCCATAATCACTTAAATGGAAATGTGGTGATCGCATTTAAATATGTACACTCGGATACATACATACAAATGTATACCCTAAACAGTTGGCAAGCCCGATGCGAAAATACCCTGAAAATCCGATATCGATTTGCCTTTTTTGCTAGTGACATCTGTTAGTCGACTTATCCACTTAGTTTTGGCATAAGCACTAACCACTGTGGTTAGTGGTATAAGCTATTTAAAGTCCAAGGTTTAAATTCCATTAATAGACTTATCGATTAATCTATTTCTGAATTTATCGAAGGTATACAAACATGATCATCCATTGAATATACCATGTATTCCCTTTGTAATGAATTAACCTTCGATTCATCCATTGAGCGAATAATCTTCATGCAGATATACACATATATACACTTATCGATCATTCAAGTTATCGATTTGCATAACTTATTTTCTTTCTCTTCTTCGACTTTTTGTTGACAGTCCTGCCAAAGTGGCCGTCGGTACGAATAGAGCCGTTATCACCGATCTGAAGCTGAACACCGATAACTTTACGATAGTCGTGCGCAGTCAGAACTCGTTGGGCAGCTCGGTTCAGAGCAGTTGGATACGAATACCGTGGCTGAACGCGCCGGAGCGAGCGCGGCGCGTGCCCAAAAAGTTGAACATGTTCGGGGTGATGGGGGCTAGGGAGAAGCAGGAGCAGCTCACCTGGGATCCCCCGGAGGAACAGGCGCTGCTGCGAGGCTACACGGTCTGCTGGTGCAGCTGGAACACAACGGACCGCAGCCACTGTGAGTTCGCTGAGGTGAAGCCCTGCAGCCAGTGCCAATACGAGCCGCCGGCTGGCCTGCTCGTCGGCTCCTGGGCCGTTTCGGCCAATTACGATGGCCGCGATGCGCTTGGCAGTGGCGGCATGAGCTGGCTGGAACCGAACCAATTGTCACCGATGGCGCCGGTCGTCCACTCGGATCATATGCACAATATACAGGGCATCATTGCGCTCATCATACTCGGCAGCTTCCTATATTTCTTTGTGCGCAAGGTGCGCCATATGTCCAACATTAAAGTGGATCTGCCAGAGGGTCTGCAGAGTGTGGCGCCGGCGCTGGAGCTTTCGCTTCTAGCCACCACAGATATGCAGCAGGAGGTGCTGCAGCGGGAGCAGCGAGAGGAGCAGCACGAACAGCAGAGAAGTTTGGACGCCAGCATTCATTATCCGCCGGTGCTCTATGGAAATTTTCGACCTCCAGACATACTGGTGCCCGCTCAGCCACTGGACTATGTGAGCATATCAAATCGAGCTGCGGATCTGACCAATCCCTCGGGCTACATTTCCATGCAGCCCACACAGCTGGACAAAGTCACAGGCTATGTGAGCCTACCATGATGCATCTGGATCAAATCTCTTGCTCTCCCTTCTCTCTTTCAGTCTATATATATGTACATATATATATGTATGTATGTATGTATGTATGTTGAGGTCGGAGGCAACTCATATTCCATTACATCATTTAAAATTCGTTTATGTAACTCTTTTGATTAAGCAGAGAGATAAAGACAAATGCTGACTCGTTCACAAATATCGATAGGCAAATGCATGTGGCCTATCGATAACTGTGCTCGAGGCTGTATGTACATACATATGTATGTATGTATGCTAAATTAGATGTAAATATAAATCTTTCTATTCTTAAATATTAATGTGTATATGTCTAAGAATCGACTCCGAAACCTGAATTGTAATAATGCAATATTGAAAGATTACAAGAGTTCAACTCCGAATTTCGAAAATCGACCCTACTCCGAATTAAGTTATTTTATAAACTTTCCGATGCTTAAAGATTATGTACATATATAAAATTAAAAATGAGTATATCAAATATACATATATTATTTATAGAAATTTAAAAGATTTTTGTTGTTAATATTAAGAAATTTACTTCAAGTAAATATAATCTATAGTGTAAATAAGTGGACTCAAATATATGTATGTATGTATATATGATCTTTGTATATTATGTGTATATATCTGTATATGTGTACATATGTGTATGTATATAAATAAACTCAAATATATGATATGAACTCCGAATAGAGTGACATACTATTCTCATAATGAGTATTACTTGATCAAATTTTATTCGATTTCCCTAAATTTAAGCTTTACAATTATAATTTGAATTATATCTGAGAAGCCTCTCTCTCCACTTTAACCGAAAAAGTTGAAATTACTCCGAAAATAGTTCTTTCCTGAATTTAAATAAAATTTCAGCTTCAGTGTGTGTCTTAGTATAGCCCATTCCCCACCCAAAGCAAATGAATGCACTCCAAAAAACATGTATCAGATATATGAGGTATGTACATATGTACATCAAATCCATTTAATACAACAAAAATTTATAATAGTAAGTAAAAAAACAAAACCATTATAGAGTTAACCGTGGGTAAAGTTTAAAAAAAAAATCGCCTATTATATGCATATATACATAGGGATATATGCATACAGAGTATATATATATGTATATATAAATGTCGCTAGAGTTAGTTAATGATCAACATAAACACCGAAAAGTCAATGAATCCCATGGAGTCCCGCATCAAAGATGAGATGCATCGGCCTTGTGGCCATGCCATTTGTAGGACGCCGAGTAGATAAAGTTGTTCTCGACGCACTTGCGATCGGCCTCAGTGGGGCCGCGGGAGCCGTACGCATAGGGAATGGGCGGGATGCGCTCATGCTCGATCTTGTGCAGAATGGGCGTGAAGATGCGCCACGCCTCGCGCAGCTCGTCGGAGCGCACGAAATGCATCTGGGAGCCGCAGAAGACGTCCAGAATGAGACGCTCGTAGGCGTCCGGCAGCACGGAATGTTTATAGCGATGCTCATAGGTTAGATCCAGTTCGGTCTCCTCAATGTCGAACGTAATGCCCGGACTCTTGGTCATCATCTTGAAGTAGAGCGCCTCGCCCGGCTGCACCCGTATCACCAGCTCGTTGCGCTTCGAGTTGCCCTCGAAGATGTCGCCGGGCACATCCTGATATTGGATGCGCACCTCGGCCTTGCGCTCGTTCAATGCCTTGCCGCAGCGCAGTATGAAGGGCACGCCCTGCCAGCGCTCGTTGTTGATCTGAATGACGGCCATGGCATAGGTGGGCGTGTTCGATGTCTTGCTCACGGTGGGATCATCCAGGTAGCCGCACTGCTCCTCCGCCGTGCTGCCATCGGGATTGCCCACATACTGGCCGAGTACCATGTCGCTCAGCTCCAATGGCTTGATGCACTTCAGCACCTTGACCTTCTCATCGCGAATGTCGTCCGGATGGCAGCTGCATGGCTTCTCCATGGCCACCAGCGATAGGATCTGGAGCAGATGATTCTGCATCACATCTCGTATGATGCCGAATTCGTCAAAGTAGCCGCCACGTCCCTGCGTACCGAAGGGCTCCTTGAACGTGATCAGGACGCAGGCGATATTCTCGCGATTCCATGTTGAGCTCAGAATCTTGTTGCCGAACCGTATGGTCATCAGATTTTGCACCATCTCCTTGCCCAAATAGTGATCGATGCGATACAGTTGCTCCTCCTCGAACAGGCCGGCCAGATGATCGCTCAGCGCCTTCGAGGTGACATCATCCCGCCCGAAGGGCTTCTCGACGATCACCCGATTCCAGCCGCTAACGAAAGATCAATGCAGACCTTAGGCACGATCCACTTAAGGATTAACGATAAATGATTCACTCACCCCTTGGACATGCAGTAGTGCTTGATGTGGAATGTCACCTGGTTGTAGACTGTGGGCGGCAGTGCCAAGTAGAAGATGCGATTCGCATTAAGTCGATTCTCGATCGATTCCAGGTGCTGCTTGAGCAACTGGTAGCCCCGGGCGTCATCGTATGGTCCGAAAACATAGTTATTCAAGCGCCAGAATTCATGATATTTCAATTGTTCATGCGGTTGCACCTGTCAAAGGCAGAGAAGTCGAATTCCATTAAATTGAGAACCGCATAGAAGAGCACAGCAAACAATTTGAGCAAATATTGTTCTCGAAAACTTGAAAGCTTTGCTTGAGAATCGCATAGAAGCGAGAGAGCAACTATAGAGCCAATTTCTATACTCGTTCACGGTGTGAAAGGGAGAGAGTATATGGTGAATCTGTCCGACATATTCCCGGATTGTAGAGTTTCTGCTAGACAGAGAACTTAAGGGCTTCCAACTTTACCTTCATATACGGTTCACATAGACTCTTCAATTGGTCTATTGTCATCTTGGAGCGGGCATAGCCACAAATTTTTGTAGGCTTCGGGAGCAGATCGTCCCGATATAGCCACCATAGTGTTGGATATATCTTCTTCTTAGCCAGATCGCCCTGTAAATGCAGGTGTTTATAGCAGTTTTCCTTCATTGTGATCAATTATGCTCCTCTGAACGAAGATCTCTTACCGATGCACCAAACACCACAAAAGTGTGTGGAATTTGACCGTCAAAGTGTGTGCCCTCGCATATCATAGTTGAGCACTTCAGAGTATTGATGATGCGATCCAAGGTGCCCGAGGGCTCTGAGCATTTGCACTCTAGGCAAAACGAAAGAAACGATAGTTTTATAAAATATATTTCTGGAATGGAAATTCTAGGACTCCTTTAACTGTATGTAACTGTATCTCTAATCTAAGGATCGGCAGAGCCGCGCGTAACGTTCGATCCGATGACCGGAGACGTAATAAATAAAATCTGTCAAATGCTCTTAGCTTGACTTTCAAACGCTGACTATATCTTAGTCCCCAGCTCATTCATACCTGTATGCCAGATAAGTGCATATTACTAGAGAGGGGTTATGTACACATATACATATGTATGTCTGTGCCTGTGTGCGTGTGTTTGTGATCTATAGGGCAATAACAGCTGAAAGTCAGAGACGGCAATCGATTGGTCATGCACTCGCAAGGCATTTCCACTAGACTATCTATTTTCTTATGGAGTCAAATAGCATAGAAGGTAGATATATAGACATACATATATATAGAATACAAGATTATAGAGTTAATTTACAAATTATATATGTATATTTATATGTGTATATCTTTGTAACTACCTTTCTTCCGAGCTTTTGCAAGCACGTTTCTTGACTAGGTCATATTTAATTATACATACATATATGTATGTAATAGAGAGATATAGTTTACTTTATTATCATATATAATAAAGATATGATATATAAAGTTATATTTGACTAACTTAAAAACGTGCTTGCAAAAGTTTACATATATACATTAGTCAAAATTTGAGTTAGATTAGATTTAGATCGTTCCAGCTCAATCTTTTAAATTAAACTCTAATACAGTTATATTTTGAATAATCAACATATATATTTATCAGTTAAATACAAATAAATGAGTAAGCTTATATACATACATATATTATGGTAAATTTTGCAGTTTAAATTCTTTTTTCTCATAGCGTGCATTCACTGTAGTTGCAATGCTGATATAGCAAAAAGGAATGCGAACGCAGCAAATCACGCAATAAACAAGAAGAAACTACTTGTTTTGTTTTTCAATTATTGTATTTCTTTAACTGTTTTTTAACTGACTTCTCATATTTGTGTGCGTGTGTGTGTGTGTACTTTTTTTTTTTTGACGCCTACAAGATGATTCAGCATCGTGTTTAGCATTGCTTTTGACAAGGCATTGAAATACATTTTGAAAGGCTTTTTATGCACGCACACACACACACACAAACACAGCAACACACGCGCACACCGACACGCGCACACGCACAGACATCGTGAGGTATGTAAACCATTCATACATGTGTAATTATTTACGTGTACATTTTCAATGTCATTAACATTGGCTAATTCTCAATGCCAATGCACGCTCTCTAATTCGCTCTCCTCCTCTCTCACACTCGCTCTCTGCTGCTCAACTTTAACGTGAAAAGGTTAACATTTAGTGCATTAATCTTGAAGTGAATGCAAATAGCGAAAACAGATTGGAGAATGAGGTAAAGTGATTGGAAATGCGATAAGCCGACGGCAAAGCTTTGTAGGTGACCCTTTTACCTAAAGAACACAATTTGAAGGGCATTCTTTTGCGCGCGCTCTTCGTCGCCGTATCTCTGCGTCACCGTCTCTCTGTCTCTCTCTCCCTCACTTCTGATACACGGCTCATAGCGCGCCACCTGTTGCGTTTCCCAACACCAACACCAGAGACATTCACCATCCCCCAACTCCCTTCGTGCAATCTCTAACTGTTGCATTCATTGAGCTTTCGTGCATATCGTATGCGTAAATCGTAAATCGTAAATCGTTAATGAACTTACCCATGTCTATTTTTCGTTGTGTATGTGTGCTAACTGTTATTTATTTACTTAATTCTCACTGACAGTCT